AACCTTTGGCCAGAGAAACGAGATGCTTGACGCCTTCAGGACCGAGGCGAAACATTTCAGCACAACAAAAAAGAAACTGTCCAGATGACCTGACTGAAAAATGTTGGAGATGCTTGACAGTTTCTTTAGAGGTTGGCCAGTCTGCTGCTTACTCGAGTAATCACGTCAGTCCTTGTCTTTTCATGATGTTTCTCAGTAGGCTGCCATGTTCCTCAGCGTTGTGTTCACATGCATTCCCCATTACAACATGGCCAGTGGCACATGGCAGCACAGTGGCCGCGGGCGTTTGCTTCTCAGCTGAGCCCAGATCGAGTGCAGTGAGGGGGCGGTGGAGGTGTAGGCGTGGGATCAGTGGGTAGGGGACATCGGAGGTGGGGGTGTTACAGGCTGTAAGCATATGGGTTCACTGTGCTTCTATGATAATGTCTGCATAAGAATCCAGTGAGAGTACAGGTTGTGTGCATGTTTGATTCTCCCTCTGTCACATGAGGGAGGGAGGTGAGGGAGTCGAATAAGCGCAGGGAATGGGAGGGGGTGAAAGGAAGAGAACGGGTAGGTTTAAGGGGTGGGGGTGGCTGGGGGACGTAGAAGAAGATGTGGTGGGGGAGAGCAAGGCGGCTGAGAGGCGAGGGCCGGTGCAGTGCAGAACTGGAACGGACACCCTGAGCTCAGCCTTCCTCGGGTTGCCATGGAAACCACATTCCTCCCCCGCCTGCATCCCTACAGACTGCTCCGGCTCTCTTTTCTATCTATCTCTCTCTTCTCGCTTCTCTGTTTTTCATGCTGTCTTTTTCATTCCTCTTTTAATTTGTGTTTATTTCCTCTCTCTTTCTGCCCAGCATTTACACACGCACCGAGCACATCTTGCGATGATGCGCACTCAGCAAGCACACCGATTTCAGGTGCGCTACACTCTGTGACAAGGTGAATGGGCAATTACAGTTTAGCATTCCCCTGCACTCACAGACGCATAAGCACTTTGTTGTTTTCTCGCCATCTCTCTATTTTTACTCCCCCTTCTGTTCAGCATCATGCTTCAGTAATGCCCCCTCTAGTCATCACATTTCTGCCCACACACAGGGTACCTTAGCTTCCTTTCTTCTCTGCTATGGCATCTGCCGTGGACCTGCAGCACCTTCATAACATTTTTCCAAATGCTTTCACCTTGCTGTCAGTTTCTAGCCAGTCTCCTAACCTCCTTGTTATAACTCTTTCTTTTTTACATCTATCATTTTATGCATGTACAAAATCGACCCAAACGCCATTCCTCAGCGGTGCAGCTCTGATAATCTCTCGCTCCTTTCTCTTCACATCTCACTCATTACCCTGTATTTCTGCTTCCTTCTGAGTGCATGCCTCTCTTTCTTATTATTCCATCAGTTGGAGGTGCTGGGTTTGATGTGTGTGTGGTGAAGCAGCTGTTATTTGCCACTAAAACCTATTAATAGGAGCCTTTGCTATGTAGCTTTAGTTTTCTGCATCAGAAATGCTTGGAGAGTATCTTGTTGGTTTCTTGGTAAGTCATTTTGCCTTTCAGTGCCAAACTGATCCTCATATCCCTCATTTTGAGTGGATTTCTGTCTTGATATCTCATATTTTTCCTTTACGTTCAGCTTCACCTGCTCAGTCATAATTTTCAATGATTCAGTCAGTCGTTAAATGGAAAAGCTTTACCTGTAAAGCTGTAGTTATTTGCATTTTGTAATGGAAACAAGTGTGGGATAATACCTAAGCTTTTTTTTCCCTACATGCATTAATGCTACAGCATTAGTGTGTTCTCATAAGGAGCTGCCTCTTTAAGACAGCCTCACTACCGACTGTCCTTTTATGGTTTGCATCCGGTCAGGTGACAAAGGAGCAGTCACACAGCTTCTCAGAGAAATGCCTAGAAATGACTGAAAAGCTCAATGCTCAGCCCGTGCAGCGGTTGGGGGGTTGTAATGCTTATTATGATTACACGAGTGTGTGTTTGTGACAGAATGTCCAGGTGGTTTATGTAAGAGGGCTTGTGCTGGCTGATGCTGAGCTGATACTGTTGGTAGAGCTGCAAGGTGGGATGCAGAGATCTCTTTAAATTCACAAAATGTTTTCCTCGTGTACATTTTTTTTTATTTGTCAGCAGCTTTTCAGAGACCATAGCTTTTAGTCATTTTCATGTAAAAATTTTGCACAGTCCGAGCAGTTTCTCGTGAATGTATGTTTAACACCGAGGCTTGTTTGTGCTCATTTTTCTAATGCTAGTCCTAGACGGCAATTCATTTGCAAAACTTTTCTCCTGTAGAACAATCACATTTAGTAACTATCTAGATGTAATTACAAACAGTTTAAACCACACATACCCGACTGCTCATGCAGTCCTTGCGTTGAATTGGTCAGCTGTTTATTTTAGTTGTGTTCTTGCAGCTGTCTTTGTAAGGACATCGTTTAAAATGTTTGAAAGAAAAACATAATATAAAACTTCTTTCTCTTGCAGTTTTTTATTTGATACTCAAAAGTAGCAAGTTTTTTGTCTTTACAAGGATTTTAATTGTTTGTATTTTATTTATGTCAAATTGGTATTACAGTAGTCCCTCCTTTAATGCTCAGAGAGCACAGAATGTCATGATTTCAGCTCTCGGCCTCTGGCTGCACTTTTGGCCACGCCCACTTCTCTGTGTTGCAAGAAGATCAGCTGATCAGCTGCAGGAGGAAGCTTCTCCCGCAGCTGTGGGCTGCACACAGGTGCTAAATTATTTATTTATTTTAAATTCATGCCGATCGTATGGTTCATCCATCAATCAGCCATTGTGTGTCATGTCCAATCTTACTTTGAAAAACAGCGATAGAGCGAGTCCGCAAAAAACGAACCGCAAAGTAGTGAGGGACTACTGTACTTACCAAATTTTGCCAACACATAAATACAGGTACACACACGCAAATTATTCACATTATCAGTGTTTTTGTAAGTGTTCATTCAGTATAAAATATTTTGTTTCTGTCTCCTCTTCCTTCGTTATCCAAATCAATGTTTTATTTATATTGGTTTTTATTTCTTTTTGTATTGTGTACCTCTTGACTGGATTGCTTGGCAAATTGGATGTAAACTCATAGGAGCAACAGAGTAAAATTTGGAGGGACAGCGGCAGCATGTGCTCGATCATATGCACTTGGATCGATATGCTTACATCGGTCTTTCAAACTGCTGCTTCAAATCTCCGCCTCGCGTCTCTCATTGACTTGGAAAGGGTTTTTGCCTGCATCCTGAAGCATTCAGTCTCTTCTGGGTTCTTTTTTAACTATATATATATAGTATAATTGCCAGGTTTTCTTCTGCTTTTCCTCTTTGCTTGGAAAATCTCTGTAGATTAGTGTGAAAGAATATCATGAAAATCAAGTGAGTTACTGTTGCATGTAATTAAGTGTGGCTGAGCCTGCTGTGTGAGCCTCATGGTAAGGTTGCAACACAGTGCAGTGTGCCCTCGTCCTAAGATCCTGTTCAGTTTGAAAAGACCCATGCCTCGTTCATGTTAATGTATGTCATATTAAAAGAACAATTGTTTTAATCTGAACGTGGAACAGATGCCTGGCATGCATGGATGTAACAGCAGATAACGTATAAACATGCTCTCTGTCCTATAAAGACACACCCTGCTCTGTTCCCCATCACATTTCATTAATAATGCATACCCCCAGGACTTTAATGGCAACACTGTAAGTCTCCATCACCTCTCTATAAAGATAAACCCCAGTGTCAGGATGTTTTACACCTAGTTGTGATCACCCTACAAATTTATAGGCATGCAAAATGACTCTCAGGCAGTCCTGAAAATATAACTGCCACAGATACATGAACGCCATATATGCTCCCCGTCTCTCTTTTTCCCTTCCCACTCTCACTCTCAGTCTCTTTCTCCACCCACTCAAAAGCCCAAGCGTGTAATCGTATCGGTTTGGTACACATGTGTTGATGTCATCATTGTGAACATGAAATAATTCTCTTATGGGTTCCCAAACGAGGTTTCAAAGGGTCAGTTTTCTCTCACTGAGCTTGTTTTGACCAAGCTCTGCACACGGGCAGTGAAATAATTCAACAGCGGTGCTGCTTTGCCAGCAGTTGAAAAAGAAGAGCGACAAAGAATGATGCAAATCACATAAGTGATTAAAAGGCATCCTCTGAGTCAGGTTTAGTGAAAGTCTTAAGGAAACGGGATGTTCATACATCTACTGTGAGATTATTTACAGATGTGTGCTGTGGCATGGCGCTCTGGGTTGTGATTTGGTTGTACTAAAAAGCTGTTAAGTCTATAGCTAATCTAGAGATGACCAGTAAAATGGTCAGTCATCAGTTAGTGGAACAGTGTTCATTGTAAGTTGAATTTGGCTCCACTAGTTATGAAGAAAAACAAGAATCAGACTCACTTTTGTCACTTTTTTCAGCATTTGTCATTCACGTATTCTCAATGGGAACTTTCCGCACCATTTCTCTTGAAAATCTTGTAAAAAATAAACACCTTAAATGTTTTATGTGGTATAATTTGTAAAGAAGTGCCTTCTCACCCAAGTCAGGCAGCAGTGAGGCGTTTGTGTTGCTGGCCCTTTAAGAGCAGCTAGTGAAGCTCTCAGTCGCGTTGGTGCTGCTGCTGATGGCAGCGCTGCGAGTTGATTGGCTGTGGCTGTCAGGGCTGAGCTGCTAGAGGGATGCTGCTACGTATCCTTCTCCCCCCATCTCCCTCGCTGCCTGCCTCTCTCTCTCATCACCTCCCTCTTGCTTGCTCGCATCCCTTTGAATAATCCACATCTAGGGCAAGCTGGCTGAGAGGCGATCCAGTGCTCAGCTCCTCTCTGCAGGCTGAGAAAAGAAACAGAGAGCAAAAGGCAACAATTTTCAACGCAGGAGGGAAAACGTGACATTTTTGACGGACCAGGAAGATATCTAGAATCAACAGAGGAAGATTTTCATCTGCGGATATCATTTATTTATACATATTGTTTGTATATCTATATATATATTTGTACACACGCATATAGATATTTATATATATAAATATATATACATTTATCCTTGTACATATCTGTATTTGTGCTTGTCTGTTTATATTAATATTTTTATATCTAGTTGTGTGTGTAAATATATATGATATATAAACAAAAGAATCTATATATATCTATGAATTTATATGCGTATCACTGTGAACCAAGAGAAGCAAGAAGAAATTTCTATCATCAGGGCTGGTCTCTGATTGCGTGGTGGCATACAATATCTTAAATATTTCCTTTGATCTTCTACGTCAAGAGGACAAAGACTACGTGCCCATTTTGTATTTTTTTTTGTTGTTTTCCTGTTGCTGCTTCCCGTTCCTCACCAATTCTTTGTTTCTTTTTCCTACATCCAAGAGGAATAAAGCGAAGAGTCGCAGGATTGGACGAGAAAAGGGAGAATTTGTAGAAATTCCTGTGATTAGTGTTCTTTCCGTCTGCGTTAGTGCCCTGTGAGCCCATCACAGCGTGCCGTGTGAGATCTGAGGAGGCAGCAGAGACAGAGTGCCACACCGCTCATCTCAGCATCAGCCTACAGCCAGCATGCACAAACACCACCACTGCTGCAAGTGCCCAGAATGTTATGAGGTGACCCGTATGGCAGCTCTGCGTAGGATGGATGCCCCAGCGTACGGAGGAGAATGGCAAGCCGAGCCCTATGGATACCCACCTGGGTATGGGGGAGGCCAGACCTTACCCCCTCCAGCCTCAGGAGGGGGTGGAAGCATGGGAGGAGGAGGGGGCACTTTAGGGAGAAGTAAGGGGAAGAATATGTCTGGTGGGGGCCCTGGAGGCCCAAACCCAAAGGGCCAATCCAAAAGTGGCCCCAAAGTCAACGGCAACAACTCCAGTGGACAAGGAGGATGGTGGCCCGAGTGCACCTGTACCAATCGGGAGTGGTACGACCAGGTAACTCTTCTTCCTCACTGTTTTAGGCAGCCCAGGCATGTGGGGCCTGTTGAGGGGGTGGGGCCTGGGAGCAGATGAGCTTTTTGTCATAGTCATTGATCAAGTATCAGCTGTGTCTGTTAATGGATTCGAGCTCATATTTAGCATTCATCTCCAGCCCTCCGTTTCCTATGTGTTGATTGTGGACCCGCTCTCGGAACAGGACTAATCTGGTTTTACTGCACACGTATGGAGATGATGTTTGGGATGGACGCAGATGACTAACGTTTATAGATTTAACACACCTAGTGTATGTCGTCAAAGGCTTACACTGATGCAGTTACCGTAGGCCTTAAATTGTACATTTCCTTCTTAATGAAGCGTCACTGTGATGCAGTTAGCCAGCAAATGTGACAAAACTGGCTGACTTTAAAATTTAGATGTAAGAAATGCATTTGTCCCTAATTGATTAATTGAATGATTATGACTTAAATGCAAAGTGTAGAAAGGGAGAAGACAAAATTAATGTTTGTTATATGTGAAGTTTTATTTTAATTAGGGCAGCTTTTTGTTTAAAGTAGTCACTATACAATGAGTTGTGTAATAAATAAACGAGTTCCTTAACGCTCTTACGTGTTGCACAGAATGATCGAACCAGCTTTTTTATTTTCATGGGCTCCGTATTGTTTCTGGTGTTGCCATTTATTTACATGTATTTATAAATTACAGTTGAAAACAGGTCAGGACAGCACCAGAAGAACAGTCTTTAATTAAGCAAGGTGCACGTATGTGAGCATGAGAGCGATCTTGGGTGGGGGAAGGGCAGCTCGAAGAGCCTGAGATTCAAGGAATGGTTCTTGCTGTGCATGAGTATGTGTCTGTGCATCCTTGTATTTGCGACAAGGTACTGTTTCTTTGCCTCTGTTTATGTCTGATTGTGTTTTGAGAAGGAAAAATAAGAATAAAGATGGCGAGAAGAAAATGGAGTGGGAGAGTTACTCCAAAAATCTACCTTCGTATGAGCTGCAGTCTAGCTGATATTAGCAGATTACATCTGCCAACGAAGGATTTCGACTTAATATAGGCTAAAAGAAATAAAATGTGTCTTTTTGTTTCATGTCAAGTTGCAGCTGCATCCAGACTGGTCAGGCGTATTTCATGTTTCACACATTTCAAAGCTTGCAGCAGATGCGATTATGTAAGCAGTTACTGCTTACATGGAGAGTTTAGTCTGCATCACTTCTACTGTCGGTTTTATTCGACCACTCATTTGCAGAATATTTATTCACTGTTTAACTTGCATTGTAAAAAAATAATAAATAAATAAAAACATATTGGCTTATAAAATGTATATTCCAGTATTCGGTTTGGAAAGCTGCATTGCTAATGATTAACATTTCTCTTAAAAGTTGACGTTCTTTTGAAGAATCTTCACCCTCTTGTATCATGTGAATCTCTGCAGAGAAAACACTAAATCTATTGTTTGTGTAAAGGTGAATTTTCAGTTTTTTAGTGGAGTTAAAAAAGCTGGAATTACATATGAGAAGTCAGGAATGGGGCATAGGTTCAGTGGGGTAAAAATGCAAAGGTTGACAAGGAGAGAAATAAACCAATAAAGGCAGGCAGCGGCCTTAAAGAGGGGGAGGGGGTTATGTAAGAAGAGGCAGTTGGTGGTACTGTCAGAAAGAGAAGCTAGAGAGGCACTGACACTAAGAGAAAGCATCTGCCTGTCCATCATTTAAAACAGACACATGAATGGTCAATATTTGCCCCCCTTTTCTATGATCACGCTATGGCGTGGCCTCCACAATCATCCCCTACCCCTTCATCCATGCTCAGTCATCGTTGCTCATCCTCGTTGGCAAATGTGAATCCCACCCTTCCCCCACAACCTACACACAGGCAGAGAGCAGGACAGTGATCACACACGCCCAATCAGACATTATCTTTAAGCTTTTATAACAAGCTGGGTTTTGGGATGTTAACATGATGAAACGCAGTAAGCTTGCACAGTCATTCAGGGAGATCTGAGCTAGTCGTTTATAGCTGCATCACTGACATAAAATGGCTCTGTATCCATGAACATTTCATGTCCACGCGAGGAAATCATTAGACACTTCTAATACATTATGTTACCACATTAGTTTCTATTCTCTGTCATCTATTTACAAAGTGATTATACTGCTTTTGTCATGAGTTTGCTAGGTTAATTATGGCTGATTTCAGCTGGGATTAAAAGAACATGCTTTTAAAACAAGGGCTTTTGAATTTAAATCTGAGAAAAGCTGAGACCTCGGTCTACTGGGATCATCCCAACAGAAAGCTCCCTCTTCCCCCGGCGGGCTCCAATCTGTCTTTGTCTGTTCTCCAACTCTGTGGCCATGATTAGCTTTAACTATTAATTGGATTTTATTTTATTTATTAGCATCAACGTTCAGTCCAAAATGGTGGGCCAGAACTATTGTTGATTGCAAGCGTTTGTTGTAGTAGTAGTGTCTTAAATGAATGCACAGACACACTGGGCGTTCTTTGCTTAGCACTCCCATAAGTGATTACACCATGAAAGCCTTCAGGCCTTGATCAGAAATGTGTGCATCTGTGTCTGTGCGTGTGTTCTTGGGTAACATTGATTTATTGGTGTCATTGGTTTGTGTGATAAGATTTAGTTGGGTTGGATTTGATTTGCCATTCCTGTAATAGCATTCCAGAGAGTATTAACAGATGGGATTTACACGTACTGCATGTCCAGATGTCTTGAGCTGGATCCCTACACTGTGATCTTGAAAAGCTCTATATAAACCAGGAATATTCTCATTAGTTCAGAGATATATCTAAGAATTTGTCTTAACCGTTATAACTACTATCTCCTTAGAATCCGGTCTCTTTAGAAACCTCAAACTGTTGTGAACGCCAATGAGAAGGATGTTTTTAATACATTTTCCTGGTTACCCATAAAATTCCTGCCTACTGTACATCAATTCTTGTATCATGCTTAGGAACATCATGATTGTTTTTTTTAAATGTCAAGGAAAATAAGTTCATCTGCCTGTTATTGTCTGCTGCTATACAAGTCAGAACATGGAAACAGCGATTCCATTATGTTCTATTGTGGACAGACTACACAACCATAGAAAAATGCTGTAATAGTCTCACCTCTAGCTAAGCCTACCCATTAACGATAAATTACGTCCTTGTGCTTGTGCTGTAGACTCCATTTGCTCAACTACAGCAACCATTATTGTATCCTGGATAATTTTAACAAACATACAAGACTGATAACCACAACACTGGCTTGAAAAGACTGAATTTACAAGTTAAAGCACTGGTATTGGACCAATAAACATACACATTTTTAAGGTCTTCATGAAAAAAAAAAAAAAACTGACTTAATGAAGCAGGTAGAGCTGCCCACTGCTCCACCTATCTCAGGTGTGATGGGTTAAATGCAGAGAACTGATTTCGCCATTGTATGAAAACGTACAATGATGAAAATCTCAAACTTCCTTTCTCTTCCCTTCCCTTAGAGGACCTAAAATTCTTTACCCTATGTCAAGTTTCTGAAAAATTTGTTCATCATCAGATTTTTTTTTTTTTTTTTTGATGCACAAAAAAGTGTATTGCCATTTAGTAGTTTACTTTTTGTTTGAACAGCAACACCTGCAGATATGACCAAATACCCTGGAAATACTCCATACTTGAACTAAGAATTTTTGAGTGCACATGGAGCTTATCGAATATAAAATTTACAGTGAGAGAAAAAAGCTCACACATTAACAATTTGCGTAGATGCTAACTTAACAATGAACACGCCATAAAATTCAACCATTTGATTTCAACCACCTGTGCCATTTGAATTCAAAATTCAAATGGCTGTCATTAGCACCTTGCTTATCACTGGAAATTTAGACACATACTGTACATGTATCTATCGTAACCCTAACATTTCAAAATCATTACTAAAGAAAATCATAACTTCAATACAAACTTGTTGTATATCGTTTACGGTTCAGCAAAGAAAAGAGGGAAAATATTGGAACGCAGAGCTTTACTGCAACATATTTCAACTAGGGGAAGCTACAATAACTTTACTAGAGAAAATGACATTGTGACTTTCCTCAAATGGCATAAAGATAATTTATATATAATAATTTATGTCTTTAAAATAGATTTTATCACACACCCTTACCAAGCTATATCAGCTTTGCTCACTTGGAACTTAAGGTTACATAGTACCAAAAATAATTGTGTTAATTGTGTTACCAAAATGAAACACCCCTAAAAAAAGTTCAGTTTAATAGGAAAAAGTTAATTGTGAACTTTATGAAACTTGTTAACAGGATACACCGTTGGAATGAATATACAGGAGTCCACCGCTACTTTGCGGTTTGTTTGTAGCGGACTTACTCTATCGTGGTTTTTCAAAATAAGATTGGACATGACACACAGTTGGCTGACTGATGGTTGAGCCGCGTGATTGGCATGGAATTTTTATTTAAAATAAATTATTTAAAATTATTTAGCACCTGCTGCACATTTGTGCATCCCAGAGCTGCAGAAAAGCTTTGTTCTGCACCTTTGTGCAGCCCATATTGCAGGATAAGCTTCCTGCTGCAGCAGAACAGTTGATCAGCTGTTCCCCGTGCAGAGCGGGGAAGTGGGCGTGGCCAAGAGCGCTTGCAGGTGACTGAGAGCAGATGAGGCAAGGAGCTGAAATCATGACATTCTGTGCTCTTTTAGAGCGTTTAGAGTTTAGAAACATTGTTTAGAATATTGCAAGAGTGTGGGAACGGTTTAAAATGCCTTAATATGTATGAATATTAGAATAAACTACTACTTGTACTACTATTCCTTCTTTGCGGTTTTTCACTTATCGCGTGGCTTCAGGGTACGGATCTCCCGCGATAAATGAGGGGCTTCTGTATATAAAATAAATCAAAAATGTTTTTGTTTTTTTTATTGTCATTTTGTAGGATCATTTTGCAAGAGTAAACAAGTGTGTTGGAAAAAATACACCCCTGTGA